CTACCATACCTACTGAATCTGTCAGGTACAGGCAGCAAACATTAGAGAAACGCACTTCTTCGTACCCATGTCTCCGAACTCTAACCATCTCTTTTGTCATCGATCGTTTTATTATCATCAAAAGGGTAACAAAAACTCTACTCGCGAGTCGCGACGTCCCTTTTCCCTTATTCTCTGAATGTCATTCCATGCGGGCACAAAAGAAAAGCTCACGTATGGACAGTGCCCAATTCTGTCATGCATCAGCCATCAGCCTCTGTGGAGTGGAGGCAAAGGCATGTGAGGGCTATGAGCAAAAAGATGCCCTGCCATTTGGCACCCTGTGGGCTTGTGGCCGCCCAGTGGCAATAAACCAAGCTTTTGAGGCCGTTTGGAACATGGCCTAGGAGCTTAGCTGCCTATCAATGGCGACTTTGCTAAAGATTTATCTGTTTATTCCTATCTACCTCCCGAAAGGCCGAAAGATACTGGGGCAGTATAATGTCGTGACGAAGAATGGCACTGTTCGCTTCTCTTATAATCCGTACTTTTCAGCTTATTTTTAGCCGGAACAGTGTTTTTCTCTCACAACGAATCAGCCGGAACAGTGTTTCGGCTCGTTTTTTCAGCGAAGCGAACGGGGCAACAACAATCAGCGAAGGCCCCCCTGCAGCAATCATTTCTACCAGAGTGTTTTCAGATTTCTGTCCCTAAGAAGCAATGAACCAGTGAACAAGGAATCGAGTATGCACTGAGCCATCCCTTGAGTTTCCTCTTTCTCAGTTCTCACCATGGATAGATGCATTTCTCTTCTTTTATCTCTCTCTCCCCTCCCTATTTTGCCAGTTTTTTTTTTCAGATTACAACTCACAGCCATCTGCTCAGTGCAAAAAAAGTTATTAACCGTCTAGAGAGGCAGGTATTAGTTGGTATGCGCATCTCAATAAATGCTATTTAAGCAGTGTTGACAAATATTTGAAACACTATATATATTTATTGTTGATGTATCTGTATGGCTAGTCTATATGGTACAACTGCTCTATCATCATTAACTAACAATGATAACCGGATATGTACGCATCCAACTAGAGTGTTGATCAGGCCAACCTTAAACTGAAGACCACGACACGACAGAAGGTGATCACAAATTCATTTATTTTTTTATTTTTTAGATATATTATTAGATGAATTTAATTTTGAGCCCGAGAGGGCAGAACGGCAGAGTGGCAGACGAATTTTTTTGAGCCATAATATAGGAATGGGCGATTGGGCTTACGTGCGTTTGGGCCGTGCGTACAATTCTGCAGCCCACGATGATCACGTAACAATACTTCCAGATAGCAACCACATTTCAGCGATCGTCAGTTGTCACCCATGGTTGAATTTTTTTTAGAGTTTCAGGGCAAAACGCCCCGGCCATTGCATTATCACAAAGACCAGAGTAAGAGTAACAATTCAAGCGTTCAGTGTTCGACTCCCAAACTCAACAATACAACTCAACTCATCTCAGACAACTTCACCCTCCAGAACGAGAACTAAACGATACAACTCATCCCTATTACACATTCCACTCCTCACCCAACTTAAGAAAACTGATCCACTTTCCATTGTATTCCAAGCTTTGAGCTGACGCATCCATCAGAAGATTTGTGATTTCAGCAGGGTAGTTCGTTTGCTTCCAGTCAAATGCCGATGAGTACATGAGCCTTTCCAAATCACCATCCACCTGGTTCAGCCAGCAGCCAGGCAAGCTTGGATGGCTGGTTGCCAGGCGCTGAGTCTTTCTAGCTTTGTATTGAAATCTTGTCTCTTCTCCGTTGGACATAGCAGAGTCCAATTCGTTAGCATAGCCAGGATTGAGATCATGAGAGAGTGAACACTCCTCCAGGCAGTTCCCTGAAAACAATCTCATTTCTCAGTTTCCAGAGCCCCACAGGGCTGCAGCACAAAACATATTGTCTACTAGAAAACGATTGTTACTAATCCACATTTGTCCTATTGATAAGAAATCCATTCCTACATTCCTACTCAAAACTTCAGACATATAGGACCAAAGTTGTTTAGCTACTGCACATTCAAAGAACAGATGATTGACAGTTTCTGTTTCACAATAGAAAAGACAGGAAGGGTCCTCTACTTTCCTTCTAATGCCTAAGTTATCCCTAGTTAGAACCTTATTCTTAGAGAACAACCAAAGAAAGAAATGAACTCGAGGTGGTACTTTCAAACTCCAAACTGAAGGAACAAAAACAAGATTGGGAAGAGTAAGTTCCCCTAGAGTTAAAGGTCCAGATTAGAGAATCTTCATCAGCCGAAAAAACTATAGTAGATGCCAATTGAATGATCTCTTGCCACCTAAGCATAAGTCTATTATCTACACCTCTTCTAAAAGTGCATTTCAAATCTGTACCATCCCAAAGCTCAAACACAGTATGAGTTTTTTCATTTACTAGAATATAAATATCCCAGAATTGAATTGCTAAGCTAGATGAGCCTAACCAGTTATCCTCCCAAAATTTGACTCTTTTACCATTACCTATTTGCCATCTATATCCCATCTTTGCTGCAGAAGCAGCCATATCATTCCTTTGAAGAAGCTAGAGCTACCAGATGTATTACTACAGAAAATGTTTGGCTTGTCAGTGCCATACTTGTGATCAATCATCTGTTTCCAGAGTTTATTTTCATCTATATTGTATCTCTTCACCCAAGAGGCCAACAAACGAATGTTCAGATCTCTAAGATTTGGGACACCTAAACCTCCAAAATCCTTAAGCATGCTACATGTGTCCCAATTGACCAAATGATATTTATGAGCTTCTGGGTTGTCATTCCAAAGATAATTGGCCATATGAGTATGAATAATCCTAAGAGCCCATTTAGGAAATTTAATAAAAGAGAGCAGATAGACTGGTATGCCAGCAAGGCAAGCTTTGATAAGAACTAATCTAGCAGCATATGACAAAAGTTTTCCCCTCCGACTTGCTATTCTTTTAAGCATGTTATCTACCATGGGTGGAATGTCTTCTCTTCTTAAATTGTCAAAATGTAAAGGAATACCTAGATACTTAATAGGAAAGGAGCCTAAGGGGCAAGAAAAGAAATGAGATAGTTCATGAGCTTCTACTTCACTAAGATTCATAGGAATAAGTTCACTTTTATGGAAATTAACTTTCATACCTGAAATCTGTTCAAACCATAGTAAAATCCCTTTTAGGTTTACTAGATGGTTATCTTCTACATCAGAAAAAAAAATGATTGCATCATCAGCGTATTGTAGGGCTATGATACCTTCTTCTCTAAAGTCTGAAGCTAAGCCTCTAACTAGACCAAGGTTTGCCCCCTTACGGAGCCACCCATGGTTGAAATTCCCTGAAAATCACCCGTACCAAACAATAATAATGGGAAAAACAAGGAAGTTTCCATTTTTAAGGTTTGCAATTAGCAAATGTAACAGTACAAAATTCGAACAACTTGAAGCTTATATAGTCAACACATGTACCTTTTCCTTCTTCTGTTCGCTCAAACACATAGGTATCGATCATTTTTCAATTGGCACGGAGCTGAACTTTCCATGCAAGGCAAGCAACAACAATGGTACGGATAAGTACGAATGGTCAACGCAGTGAATGCCTCCCACCATCCTTCAGGTTCTGGTTAGCATCGCTGCCGATTTGGGTCAACAGTTGCACGTGTGACGTTACCAACAAGCAAAGGTTTGACAATGGCTCCAGCCATGCAGATCTTGACAGACGTCAGCTCAGAGTAGCTGGGCTAAACTGAGGCCTTGTTTAGTTGGTCAAATTTTAGAAATTTGGCTACTGTAGCACTTTCGTTTTTATTTGGCAATTAGTGTTCAATCATGGACTAATTAGGCTCAAAACGTTCGTCTCGCAATTTCCAACCAAACTGTGCAATTAGTTTTTTTTTTCGTCTACATTTAATGCTCCATGCATGTATCGCAAGATTCGATGTGATGGCTACTGTATCACTTTTTGAAAAACTTTTTTGGAACTAAACTGGGCCTGAAACTCTGTGATCATATATAATCTCAAACAAGAAGTTGACTTCAGAAGTTGAGATAAATCTCAAAGCGCAATGCCTTGTAAAAGGGGGCAGTAACAGTATGATGTACAGACTCCAGTGCAGCACAATCGTACAAGGGAAGGATGAGGTGTGTGAGGGATGAGGTGTGTGACGTAGTCGTGCAGGTCGACGCAGTCTGTAGACATGAGGAGGTGTACGCATCGAAGGATGAAGATAAGAGGTGTTTCTCATCGGCTCCCACTCCCACTCCCGCCGCGGCCAACATGCGAAAATCGGTGGATGGGCCAAACTGCCTCGGCCTGGCCCAGCTACAGCTCCACCTGGCCTACCATGTTTCAGTCATGTCATGGTACAGTAGTTCACAATTTTCTTTTCAAAGGTTTGCAGCTAGCTCATCCGACAGTGCAAAGTTCCAACAACTTGAAGCTTATTATAGTCAACACAGGTACAGTACAGTACTCTCTCTTTTCTTCTTCTTCTTCTTCTTCTTCTGTTCGTTCAAAAACGCTGGGATCGTTTTCAATTAGCAAGGACCTGAACTTTGCTTGCAAGGCAAGCGACAACAATGGTACGTAGTGCTAAATAGCTTGAGTCCTGAAACAGTTTTCTGAAGGTATCCATCGACTGCTTAGTTTTATCCATGAAACTAGAATATCTAATCCGAACAGTGAATTCCACTAACCCTGCTTCAGGTTAGCGACCGATTTGGATCAACACTGTTGCAAAAAACAGTACTGCCAGAATGTGCACGTTTGACGTTATCTGCAGAGTGGCAAAGTGTTGACACCTGCTCTAACTGTGAAAGAAACTAGAACCGGAAGACATTCAGCAGAACGAGAGCCTTCCTTGCGCACTGCTGCTGTCTCCCTCGTTCTTCCTTGCTAAGCCGTCAGACACATCTCCTGCAAAACATGGAGAAATCTTTCTCGGTTTCATCTTCGTAATCCTGGTCATCTTCATCGTCACTATCATCTTCAGCAGAGCGGGATTTGGGACAAGCCACAGCTTTGGGCGGCACAATCTATCCTATCAGCAAACCACTTCACAAGGTCAATCAATGTTGGGCAATCACGGTCATCCTCTGTTTCACTTTCACCTGTCTTGTGCGGATGCCCTCCGAAGTGCTCCTCACCTTTTGGATGATCCATTTTTGTCTTTCTCCTCGTACAAGCATAGCAGTTACCTGCGTTTGTGCACAAGCAGGATTAGAGACAGGATCTTCTACTGAAAATACGCCAAGGAAAAAAAAAACTTAATAACAAAAAATCAGCCAAACAAGAAATATATCAGGCTGCACAAAAACAAATAGTACGTCTCGAGGTTGCAACACTCCACATTTAAACAAACAAATTCCAATGCATAGCATTGTAGATCCCAGAATCTTCTGTTCAACGTATAACAATGGTCAAGGAGCTGGACCAACTCACCGAGATGCTGCAGGACGTCACGCTAAGCACCGAGAACGACGACCGAGCCAGCTTCTTCGAAGATGGTGACCACCGGCTGCTAGCTGGCCTCATCTACAAGGCCTCAGCCCGCGGTGACCACCAATGCGCCTCCTACAACTTCGTATAGTGCAACTTCGCCCCGCCGCGCGTGAAGTTTTTCGGCTGGCTCCTCACCCAGAACAGAATCCACTGCCGGACGGCCCTGGTGCACAAGAACATCCTCGACGATGCTCGATGTGAACTGTGCAGCCCCCTACTCCTCTTCTGTTGGGAAATCTGGAAGCATACAAATGAGGTGGTATTCAGAGGGATGGCGCCGGACATATCCTGGCTCAGAGCTGCTTGCAAAGAGTCGATCAAAGCCTGGAGCTGCCGTATACCCAGGAAAGATGAGTCATTAGATAGGCAATGGAGTAATGTAATGTCTATGTAATTCTACACTCCCCCATCTCCCTACAACTACATTTGTAATCAAGGCCATGCCTTCCACCCACCGGTTTCCGGCATCTGTGGAAATATAAAGCAGGTGGGGATCGTCGCCCCCCCCCCACCCCCCAGCCTTAAGGCAATCACTACTGCTGCATATAATAAGCCCAAAGCTGTTATTACTTCTTTTTCGGCAGAACCCTTGTTTGTTCTGCTACTGTTAAGCAAGATCATCTACCAACCAACAATCAGTTTTATTTGAGGAACTATTCATACTGTGAACAGAGAAATAGACGCAACGACAAATAGGGAACACTAATAGAAGCTTCTTGGTCACTAGGTTTAACTACTATACACAATATGCAGCTTAACCCCCAATCCATTAGCGGTCCTAAAGGAACGACCAATCTAGTAATCATATATTAACTTTGTAATTATGACAGGAGTGGCCCTGGCATTTGCAAGGCAGACAAGCAAGCATGCTATGTTGCTCAGGTGTCGCTCAACTTTATATTACTCAATGGTAAAAATGAATCTTAGATAAAAAGCATACCAACATGGCTCGGTGATGTACCAGCATGCAGCAGAAGGTGATGTCCTCTTCGGAACAGTTTCTGTTAGGCGGATTATGAGCTTCAGCAAAAAAGTGCACAGGAGTCTGGCTTTGGGATTGTTTACGCTTTGGCCAGGCCATGAAATTGATGTGGAAATATCGGTCAAAGAAGCCATCCTCAACCTTCACGGTGCTTTGGCCATAGGTGGCATGAAGGCAGTAACGTGCCCCGGTTTGGCGAGCAAACTTGCGCAATGCCGCATCTGTAATGTCAAGCAAAGTTTGATACACGCTCCTCACGATCCTCCTCTTCTCGTCGATGATTCGACCAATTCTCACGCTCAGCTGTCGAGAACAAGGCTGCCGCAGCGGTGCATCTGGCAGCGGGAGAGGCTGCAGCATGGCGGAGAGGCGCAGGATGTCATGCGAGGAGAGCCTGCGCCTGCCACCCAGCAGCGAGAGCGCATCGCGCTCCACAGGTGGCAGCACTGAGGTGACGAAGTGCGCAAGGGCGGAAGGTTTTGGGTGCCGCGCCGCCTGCGCAGCCACGTGCAATGGAACGGCTTCCTATCCCGTGCGGCCGATCGGCACTGCCCCGCGTGCGGAGGCGGAGGCGCCATGGAGGGCGGCAAGGGAGAGGGCGAGGTGCCAGAGGGCGTCGTCGTGGGAAAAATCAGGGCACTAGTGGCAGAGGTAGGCGACCAATCCATCGAGGGAGCGGTGGGAAAGGCGGCTTATACCCTCGGTGCTGACGGCGTCGACATGGATGGGGTCGGCGCGGAAGGGGAAGGCGGCGGCGTACCAGACGGAATTGAGGATGATATTGTGGACGGGGTGGAGTGGACCGTAGCAGTGCCCGCCGACAAGGAGGCCGCGCGCGAGGGTGGTCCGGAGCTCGGCGGCGGGCAGCCGGGAGATGGCGTCGATGTAGTATCCGCAGATGAGACCCAGCAGGAACGGACGCACGGCTCGAGCATCTCGTGTCGTCCTCGGTAGGTCAGGCTTCTTCTCGGTGACCTGCTGCTGCCTATTGGGAAGAGGGGTTTTGCACTGGGCGGCGCGATCGTAGGAGGAACCTGAAGACTGAGGAGACGAGGATTCCGAGTTCCCCGAACCCAGATTAGCGCGGAGGCGGCGGCGGCGGCTACGATTACGCCGGCCAGCCATGCCCTAGCTCCCGATCTCGCACACCTTTTTATTTTCATTTATTTTGACCATGCGTTGCAAAAAAAAAAAAACAATATCATAATAATTTAAATTTAAACGTGTATTATATACTTAAAAAAATTCTTTAAGCGTAATATTCGCAACACTCATTTGTAGACAATCATCAATATTACTTGAGTTTACTCCAATTGCATCTCCACTGCATTTTATGAACATAGTAAAAAAGCAAAATCAACTTCAACGACATTTCGACATGAGCGCCTCGGCGTCAACTTCGTCATCACCAACTTCGTCGACTTCAGCATTATTGGTTCCGCCTTCGTCAACATGTTGGCTCAAGGAGCTTGTCGTCAACTTCGACGTCATCAATTTCTCCTTCACCGACATTTCGGCCTGAGGCGCTCACTGTCAACTTCGGCGTTGTTGATTACCTACTAACAAGGGGTTACCTAAACCCTCGGGATAGTGCCATGACAATGCGATTAACCCCCTGGTTGATTTTTCTAATCAGCCAAGGGCTCGTGGGCTTCGCCCGTCGTGGACGCTCGTGCACACACTCTGAAGTATTACAAAGCCTGATGGGCCCCAGGCGTCCCACCTCAGACAAAAAGCCTAGGCCTTTGGGAAGTAGGCAGGGAGATAAAACCATGCCCAAGCCACCGTGCCCGGGGGCTTGGCCTAGCCCGCGAGACTCCCAACCTTGGAAGGCAACAACCGGCTAAGGAGGCTGCAAGCGCCATCATGTTGCTCAGGCTAGCTTCCCATCCCGACCGACATGAGGAATGTTCCCCCGGGAAATTGACAGATACCCTGAGCCTGACACATAGGAAGAACCGCAGGGCATCAAGCCATGTCGGGACTCTGTTCCCTCGCCCCCACAAGGTTGTGTCGGCCACCTTTAGCCTAGGGTCACGCCCGGGATGTGACACAACGTGACAAGGATGGGAGCACGACCACCGCATGGATGTGCCCGGTCCCACTAGTCATCTTCTCCCTGCATATGGCCACATCCTTAGCGTGCGATGGACGCCATAAGGAAGACGAATCCAGGGACGGCACAATGGCAACTCCAGCTTCTAACGGTCAGCTTACTCCAGCAGAGGATGTTAGAGGCGGTTCAGAGCTATCGGCCATGATTAGCGACAAAGGGCAGCGCCCGGCACCGCCAACAATCGAAGATTAGGGCATGAAGCCCTATAATATCATGGTGAACCGCTCTCCTTGTACTAACTGGGTCCTCCAGTATATAAGGTTGGGCCATAAGAATTCAGATCCAAACCCTAGATCACTAGCTTAGTGCTCTCCTACTCCCCTCTCTCTCCACATTGTAAGAACTCAATTGAGCATTCTAACACGAAGAAACCACTGCTAGACATAGGGCTTAGACGCCCGAACTAGGATAGATCTTGTCGGATACCACAAGAAGGGGTACCCTAAGCAAGAACCGAAAATATTGCTTAAGCCTTGCCAAAATCAAAGCCAAAGGACAACCACGAGGTCTCGGCAGATTCTTCGACTCGCCCAAGGCTTGCGCCGAGGCCTCAGACCGCCGAGGCCCTCTCGCCGAGGCCCCGCCCCGCAATACCGGGATACCAATTCTCCGATTCGCCCGAGGCTGGACTCGGCAACAACCTCGTCACCTCCGTCCCGACCGACTCCCCTGACAAAACGTCACGTCCAGTTAATGCGCCCCACTACTCCCGCAACGTCAGCCGCACATTGGCACAGTATAGGTAGAATGACCGACAGGACAGGGGACCGGGCACAGCAGGGGTTACCTACCACTGTGCTCGTCACTGTGCACCCTGCTGATACCCGTACTGCCCTGTGCTACCTAACTCCTGCGCCAAGGACAAAGTGGCGTGGAGGGTCAAGTCCGGGTCCCAGTAGTCTCAGAATCAGCATAGAAGACCAACCGCTCGTCCTCCGCCTCGTCCGAGACCCGCCGGCAGGGCCTCGGACGTACTATTCCTTCTCCGCCTCGGCCGAGGCCGGGCTCGTCCCGCATCCTCGTCGCCTCCGCCTCGTCCGAGACCCCCCGGTAGGGCCTCGGACGTACTATTCCTTCTCCGCCTCGGCCGAGACCGGGCTCGTCCCGCATCCTCGTCGCCTTTGCCTCAACCGTCCATCTGGCGAGCCGTCACATCCGTTTAAATGCACCTGGTCGCACCTACTACGTCAGCCACGACCGATAGGGTACAGCAACAGGGGCGATGGGACAGCGGTCAAATCTCCTTTTTACCATCCCCTACTGACGGTGCAGGGGTTACCGTGCCCTGTGGACACACGCTCCGCACTTCTCCGCCTGAACCGGGTACAACGCTGACCACCGAGACCCCCGCATCATACACGGGTCACCTCCGAGGCCTCGGCAAAACAGGCCTCGGCACGATCAGCTACGGCACCCGCCAGGCCTTGGCACTCCACCAAGTCAAGAACACACAAGGCACGACATACCTCCTACAGTGGAAGCCGTACTGACTAGACGTCAACAAGGACTCCCACGACCTCAACGACCTCGGGCCCGGCCAGCACGGTGCGCCAGTCAAGTACCAATCGCCATCCCCAACACCATGCTGCTACAGGATTGAACTACAGTAGGCTCCACGTATAGCTCACTCATGTACTCCTGGCTCCCTCCTTGCGGATATAAAAGGAAGTGGTCAGGGATAGCTCGGGGGGCGAAGGAGGAGAAATAGGAAGAACACCTGGTAGCTCACACACATACACATCCCAGCCGCCTGAGAGCAACGTCTCAAGCAGCCCACACGACACCTCGCCGAGACCTGGGATTAGCTCCCTCTCTCCCTGTGCTTGTAACCCCCTACTACTAGCACTTCGGTGCAAGGAATACAAGATCGATCTCTCAGACTGGACGTAGGGCATCGATTGCCTGAACCAGTATAAACCTTGTGTCTCTTTGCATCACCATCCGGGATTAGGGGCACGCAGTTCAAATTCACTAGTTGGTAGAGGACCCCCGGTCCGAAACACCGACAGTTGGCGCGCCAGGTAGGGGCCTCTGCGTGTCAGTTTCGTCATCCCAACAAGTTCCGGATGGCAGACCCCATACGACCGTTACGTCTCGGCACGGTGATCTGGTTCGGGGGCCTAGAGTTCATGTCTCTGGGGCATGAGTACGACATGGTACTCCTCACGCCCCGAGCCCCACCAACCGACGGCGACGTCACGCACCGGCAGCCCAGGCGCAGGCGGCGCCCGGGCGGCCGCTCTCGCCGTGCTCGCCAAGCACGACGCGAGCAAGACCACCCCAATGCTACTCGAATCTAGGACGGCACGCCGCTCCCCGCCGACATCCTACGACCAGCTGTTGGCACAGGCTCCCTGGCTGGGGACCTGTCTAGCCTGAGCTTGGACGAAGGAAAAATGCCGGTGGCACATGGCGACGCCCAGTCACCAAGCTCCGCTCCACCACTCCCTGAAGAGCCAGTTTTGGCGGAGCAAAGTCCGGCGATGGCACCATCCTCATACCCCTTTGGGTTGAGAAATGCCGCCACCTCTTATGCTTACGCTTACGCCGCCGCTCACAAGGATCCCCTGGAACGCCGCCACTTATTCACTTTCGACCAGGCACCCACGCCGACTCCTCGAGAAGGACGAGGCATGGCCCGAGTGGATTTCTCTCGACTCCACGACCCCGGGCTATGCGCCATTTCCTCGGACGCAGCGACTCATCGCTTGGCTATCTCCGACTCGATAACGAGGGCACCCCACGACCCCGCCATGAGTGTTTTCCACGTCGGGCTTGGGATGCCGAGGGCGGGTGAGGAAGACGAGGGGGTGGGTAGCCGTTCCCCGCTTTGCCCAGGTACAGGCGCCACCACACCTCCGCGCATTGTCCTACCGGCAGCACGGAACGAGAACCCTGCTCTTGCGCGACCTCAACATCCAGACCTGGAACAGCTCCACGAGCTCTAGGCCAAGGTCGAACAGGACCGACTCCTTCTACAGTAGCTTCGAGACTCTCTCGAACAGGAGCAGCGAGGTCGTGGCGAAGGCGGAGGAGCCCGACGAAGGGCCCGCGATGTACATCATCGCATCCACGACAACGACGAAGGGAGCGAGCAACCCCCAGTCTTCAATCGCACCAGCTAGAACGTCGCGGCCGCGGCAATGCTGGTCCACGCGATGCCCGAGCCTTCTACCACGGAGGGGCGGCGGGTCCACGGCGAGCTCCGAGAGCTCCTAGAGACCGCCGCGGTTCAGCAGGCCGAGAGTTCCGCCTCCCGACGGCACGGGGGCATCTCAAACCTGCCCACGGCACCGCCTCAGCAAGACAGGGAAGCCTCGGCTCGTCCCGAGCCTGCTCGAGCACCGATAGCCCACAGGGCCCCATGCTTCTGGACCACCTCGGTAACCGACGCGAGGTGCAGGGAAACCATGAGGTGGTCAGCAGGCGACGACACCACGACAGCGAGGGGCCCATTCGGGGCTACCACCCACACTGAGGCGGCCGGTATGATAGCGGGGAGGACCGTAGTCCTTCCCCTAAATCGCCAGGCCCTCGGGTCTTCAGCAGGGCCATCCGCGCTGCTCTTTTCCCCGCCCGATTTCGGCAACCAGCCAATCTCACGAAGTACAACGGCGAGACCAACCCCAAACTCTGGCTTGCCGATTACCACCTGGCCTGCCAGCTAGGTGGCACGGATGATGACCTGCTCATCATCCGCAACCTCCCCTTGCTCTTGTCAGACTCAGTGCGAGCCTGGCTTGAGCACCTCCCTCCCTCACAAATCCACGACTGGCGCAACTTGGTTGGGATCTTCGTCGGGAACTTTCAGGGCACATACGTGCGCCCTGGGAACTCCTGGGATCTTAAGAGCTACCGCCAGAAGCCAGACGAGTCTCTCCGAGACTTCATCCGGTGCTTCTCCAAGCAGTGCACCGAGTTGCCCAGCGTCGGCGATTCGGAGATCGTCCAGGCTTTCCTCTCCGGCACCACCTGCCGAGACTTGGTTCGGGAGTTAGGTCGGAACGTG